ACCGCAGAGCCATAGTTAGCTGTGGTGAGAATCACAACCTTATCCAGTGTAGCAACTACATGATAAATGCGATGAGGTTCTGTTCCATGCTACGACTGGTATGAGTTAAACAAAGACGGACAGCGAATATCTATCTGTCCTTGTCTGACTACTGGCGAGCTACAATCGCGGCAGCAGACACGAGCCAGCAGCGATCTTCTCGCTTGCGCACACACATACACATATATACAGGGTGGACCATTTTAATCCATCCAGTCGAATATGTCGAAAACCAAGCACGGGAGAGAAAAATGTTTCAGACAAAAGTTGTAAGGCTTAAAAAAACGCATTCAACAATAGTAGTTATTTGACATAGGATGGCGTCGCCAAGGTCAGAACAAGGTCAACTTTGCTTTTTTAAATAGAAATACATATTTTTTATTACGGCATTTTATTCAACGTAAAAACGCAAATAACTTTTGCTTGAAAAAATTTTTTATACGACCTCTATTTTCTAAGATATTTACGTAAATATCTACAAGATTATTGGTTTCAATAATTTTTTACTTGAATTCTGTCAACTTTAGCGGAAAATATGAAGAGATAAAAATTGTATATTTTGTTCTCATAGAGCTCTGAGAATTTTTTCAGAATTTTGTGTTAACTTTTTAGTACTTCAAGAAAATGTAAGAAAATGAAGTACTAAAAAGTTAACACAAAATTCGCTTGATTTTCGACATATTTGACTGGATGGATTAAAATGGTCCACCCTGTATATATATATACATGATTCATTCTCTCACCCGTTCTTCTTTTCGCGCGATGCCTTACCTAGAAAGAAATATGTATGGAAACTTGGGATGACTCGTACCAATCCAAGTATCAGCGGGCACTTATAATAATTGTACTAATGTTTTTCTGAACGTCATATATAATAAAAATATAACAAAATTCTTAATATGATAAAATTTAATTAGGACAACGTATAGGTAACTAAGAAACTAAGAAACTTACAACTTTCCCAGATAGCACATGGAATTTAAAAAAAATTCAGTTATATGTTACGAATTCTCAATTGATTTTTAGGTGCAAAAAGAATTTTTTTCACTGACCTGTGAAGAATAAAATGTGAATATCTCACATGAGACAAGTTTTATGTTACAATTATGAATACATACTTTATAGACGAAGATTTGGTGAAAATTTATGGAATTAGAGCGATTAAAAAGTACATTTTCATCACTTTGAAATGTTTGTATTTTAAATATTGCCCAATTTTGTATTTTAAATATTTTTTAATATGGATAATTTACATTTTCTGAGACAATAATTGCAAGTGTTACTTTATATATTTTTATTTTAACGTATTTCGCAAGAATTTGTAGTATTTGTAGTATTGTATTTTCTCGCTTCTGACATTATTAAAAAGAGACAGATGATACGAGAGGCCAGAAGCCTTAATGCAATATTGGGATAGACATTATAACAATATAAAGTCCATATTAACAAAATGTTAAGATTAGGCTCAAGGTTACCTTATAAAGATGTTGAGTGTAAAATTTGTAATAAATTAGAAACAAATTTTGAAACTGAACAGCGACATGTAACTGAAGAATAATAATTACATGTAACTGAAGAATAATAATAATATTGCAATAATTATGTTTTCTTTACTGGACAGCGAAAGTAAGAATTGGTTGTAAGTCTCTCAATCACTAATGCATTATTGTTCACACTTTTTTTTTCATAATCATGTATAATTAATTGTAGATCTTTATATTAATAATTTTGTTAAAATTATAAGTGCTATTGTTCTATTATTGTGTACATGTACACGCGTACGTATTTCGTCGGCGTTTTCAAGCATGTTGAAATGTATAGAAAAGTTAGTGCTCGCTAATGGTAAACAAAGATATATTGACACGGCGACGTGATTGTCAATCAACAGACAAATTCCATAATCATTCTATCTGTTACCGCTTGTCTATAATGGAAGTAAAGTACGGACTAAAAGAAGTTTCTTACAGTCCGTACTTTACTCCTACCATTGACAAGGTCAAAAGTTTTATCTGCAATGTACGGAGTAAATCGTAAGAATTGGCTAATCATAGTCGATTATTACAATGATCGGGTATGGTTACAACGATCGGATACGGTAAATTGTTACTGACAATATGTATCGTACACCATGCCTTAGGCGATGACAGACCCAAGTCACATATGAATGGCACATTGGCAAATGTTGCGTGCTATTTATAAAATAAAAAATATTTATAACAAACATGATTTGAAATCGCTAAAGTACACTTGTAAGAAGTTCCGAGTTCTAATTTTTTCCGTGGGCAAACAATGCAAAGCCTTATTTTACGGCTTTGCATTGTTTGTCCACGCAAAAAGTGAGAACTCGGAACTTTTATTGAATGCACTTAAGCGATTTCAAGTGCTGTTTGCAAAAAATATCTTTTTATTTATAAATGGCACGCAAGAATTGTCAGTGTGGCGTTTGTCGCTAACTCGTGCTTGTCAGCTTGTTTGTGATAATACAAGAAAAGAATGTCCGTTTGTTTGACTCACGCCACACGCGACATATAGTGCAGAAAGAAACCTATGACCGACATATGACGTGCAGTGCCATTATACGGCAAAACAATAAACTCAATGGAGTGAGAAAATGACATATACTGCAGTATAATATTGCTCTTGACAGCCAAATTTTTTCTTGCGAAATGTGGTTATATTATTTACTCTAATGGACTTTTGTGACATTAGACATATTGTGGGAACCTGTAAAATATTCCGAGTTCTCGGCTTTTCGTGATATACAATACGTGGAAGCATAATTTACTCTCTTTTGACACACTCTTTTCTACACTCGTTTGATCAGTTGTTTGACCACGTTTTCTCGCGTAGACAGGCCTCATTTCACTGCTTATTTTATGACTTTGTATGAATTGCCCAAGGAAAAGGTGAGAACTCGGAACTTTTTACAAGTTTGTTGAAGTGATTTCGAGTGCTGTTTGTCAAGAATATCTTTTTACTTAGATATGTCACGCAAGAATTCTTGACGTGCCGTTTCTCGCTTCTACCTAAATGATCGCTCGCTCGTCATAAAACCAATATGGCCGCGAGGGGCCAGGAGCCTTAATATAGGGAAGTATACGTGTACTATTTGTTATATTTATCTTATTTTTTAATGTACACAAATCAAACTACATCGTATTTAAAAAATTTCTTTTGTTCATAACTTTTTAATGACCAATCAGCGACCCCTAACAACATATGTCAAGATCAAGGTCATCGGAGTTGACTCTCTTATGCTATATAATTACTATCTTATCATTTACTAGATCGATACACTGAGAGAAAAGACTGGTAACTATAACAAACTGTATTTAGTTACAGAAATTCATTGAATCCTTAGTAACTAATACTAAATATGATAATAATTACCAAATATTTAATAGATCGGGAGTATGACGTAATTGCATTCACAGTAACATCAATTAAATAATTTAGTAATAGTTACTTAATGTTAAATATTTAATATAAAATATATTACAGTTATGAACAGATATTTGATAATTGTTATGAAATCGTTATATCCCATATAATAAAAAATTCAGTAGGTACGAGTTCTATTTTGTTACCAGTATAAGTATGTTTTGTTGCAGCACAACGAAAAATTCATTCATTTGCAGCTATTACATCGTTTCAATATCTATTATTACAGATAGTTGGTTGAACCTATAAAAAATTTTGTAACTATTACAAAATCGCTTATTTTGCTCAACTATTCAATAAGTTTTATTTACCAAATATATTCTGGAAGCAAATAAATTTTACTTCTGTCAAATAAATAATTTATTTTACAGAACTAAATTAATTAATAAGTATTGCCATAGATTTGACCCGCTATATTTACGTCTATCATTTAGTAATAGTAACCAAATTTTGATAATATTTACTAAATTCTTCTCTCAGTGTAATCATTAAAAATGTTCGACCAACCGCATTCATCTCTAGTTACATGCTTCTCATGACTGTTGATTCATCTAGAAAACGGGAACGTGTTCAATGCAAAAGTGACATTGTAACAGCTTGACGTTTCGTATGCGTCAGTAAAAGATTATTGTGTGCTTACGTATAACGTGCACTCAGAAGAATAAGAAGGCTGTTAAAAGAACAAGTCAAAGATTAACACGACTGCCATGCTGATTTCCACTGATTACCTCAATGCTTAACTCATGTTTGAAAATTACCAAAGACGTGAAATAAATGAGATAAATAAAAAAATAAATAAAGATGAAAGAATGACCGAAGATATAACAGATAAATGCAATTCGCCGTGTATATATTCGTTAGCATGTTTAATCGGCTATATAATTAATTCGTTATATGCAGTTGGTTACATTTTATATACGTAAATTGGTTTTATATACGCAGAAATGTGATAGCACCGATTACACTCGATGACCACTCTGTCAGTGTCAACAGATAAAATTAATATAAGTAATTTACAATTGATTGCATGTGACAGATGTAAACGAGTAACTCTCTTTACTCAAGCATACGAAACGTCAAAATATCATTTCGAACACGAACTCCGAATATGAGCGCGGAATACATTCCGCTTTTCGGATTAATTAACAATCATGAGGAATGGAAATAGCTGCAAATGGATATGACTGATCGAAAATTTTTAATGACTATCGATCTAGAGGATGGTAAGGACGGTACATTAGTGCTGCCAATTATGACTGGTCGGATACTCAAGTCTTTCGGATTTTACCCGAATATCCCGTATCTTTCGATTATTATTCGAATATATTAACCTGAGGACTTTACACACGTCTACCCAAACCAAGAGAAGGTAGCTTTAATTTTGCGTTCGTACACAGAGAGAACGATTTGTTGAATCAAATAAACGTTTTTTTAGAATAGTCCAAACAAACTATTTGGTTGACACAATAAAATATTTCTTTGGAACTAAATCATAAATATTTTTGTTGCGTCAAACAAAATTTTGTTCGATCAATCGAAAAATTCGTTTGGACTATTCCAAAGAAGTGTTTATTTGATTCAACCAAATCGTTCTCTCTGTGTACGTCTTCTGTAACTTGAGTAACTTGCGAACAAAAATAATTCGATATTCAGGTTATTAATTTGCTAATAAATAACGGATGAATATATTGTATAACCATCTAGGTACTCGGATAATAGAGATATCCGATAGTTAGTGGTTATACTAATAGCATTAACATACATAACGTGTTAATGTTCAATTATCTGTCTTGTTTATTGTGAGGCGCGTTTAATTAATACCGATTATCTCAACGATTTTCGCGGTCTATTAAGATGCCACCTGCGCTTTTCCAGGACGTGGCTTGTAAAAGGCGCACATAAAAATGGCTATCGTTATTTAGCAATTACGGTTAATGGTATTTATTGCGCTGTTGCGCTGTTGAGCTTGATCGATCGTTAATTTTTCATTGTTCGACGAGATAACACTGCGTATTATCGATCGCGCGCTCGAAGTACCGACCGAGAATTGTCGGGAATTTATGGATTTCGGATAAAAATCACGCGACATTGTGCAAAAGTATTTGAAATCTTTTTATATAGGCTGTTTTTAAAACAAGTGTTCGAAGCTTAGGGATATAGTCTACCATCGTTGAGTTTATCGCAACGATGGAAGAAATATTTGTACGAAAGTCGGACGAGTTCGGAAATGCTTTTTTCTTCGACTTGTAAACATATCTCTTCTCGCGACGCTCCTGCAAGATCGCGTATCAAGTCGCGAGCGCGAATATTTACTTTTATACTTGAAAGTCACATATAGTACAAGAGTATAATATCTAAACGCGCTCGACGTTATGCGTGCGACGAAATGCGTGCGCTCGACGTTATGATGAAACAGTCGTAACACGCGCCCCGAACAATGAGCTCGGTCGTATTGTTATTGATGTAAATGACGCAGGGTTAAACGACCATGAGAGAATCCGGATAGACGTGTCAGACCTCGATTAAGTGCATATGTGGTTAACGCGACAAAGAGAGTGAGAAAGAGAGCGACGTTGTGCAACGTTCAGTACGCGAAGAGGGCGCATAACAGTCGCATAAACGGAAACGACGTCATTGCATATGCATACATGCAAAAAGAACGAAAGCCGTAGGAGAACAATAACGAGGTCTTCGGTCTGTATCGAACCTTTTTGTCGTTTGACGCGTGTCAGGATTGATTGTGCCAACGTCACGGGCTCGTGATTGACGGAAAAGGAAATACTAAGAATAAAACAGCTTATTAGTCCACAGATCGATTTAAATTTGTATTAAATAAGGAAAACGAGAGAGAAGATTTCGCGTTAAGACAGAAGAGTTATGAAGTAAAATATTTCTAAGTTCGAATTGTGTAAAGTTTTAATTTAAAAAATTCTCATATTTTTGGAAAATGTACATTATACATTATGCATGATTATATCTATGTGAGAGGCATTGGATATATTTTAAAGGACTAGAATAGATGTTTCAATTAGTTCCAATTTATTTCAGTGAGAGACAATGGCTTCAGCAGCGGATCCCTACCCGGAAATTGCGGAGTCCGAGGAAAGAGAGTAAGAACATCAATCTCCCTTTCAACTTATATAACGCGTTTCTTTATCTTAATATTTCCTTCTGCTTTCAGAAATCCGGGATTCTGTAGATTGTTGTTGAGGTTCCTAGCCATTTACTGGCGATCCATTATCGTGGTGTTATGGCCGCTGATTTTGTCTCCGTTGCTGATAATCGAACATCAGAATGTAGATATCTCATGTCCTCTTATATAGCTGACGATCTAACAAAATGTCGCATGTAAAAATCCGCGAACAATCTAATCGTACTCTGTTTACATACAGCCTCTTGCTATGCAATGTTTATACGTCGTCGCGTTGATGGCGATGTTCTGGGTGACTGAAGTTCTACCTTTGCCTATCACCGGCCTGATTCCGGTGGTTTTGTATCCATTGATGGGCATCATGTCCACCAGCGACACTTGTCTGTGTTACATGAACGATACCACGATGATGTTCCTGGGGAGTCTGGTAATCGCGGTGGTAATCGAGAATTCCGGTTTGCACATGCGAGTGGCATTGCTCATTATCAAGACGATAGGCTGCAGTCATCGGAGGTATTTTCATCATTTATCACAAGCCATTTGATAGCACAGAGAAATATGAGATTTTGTTTTTCCTTTATATAAATTAGAGAGGAGATTGACTTTTAATTATTCTCGTTCTCGTGCTTCATTTCTTATATTCACTCTCGTGTTAATTTTGCTCTCAGGTTAACTTTAGGCTTATTTTTTGTAACAATGTTTATCTCAATGTGGATTTCAAACACCGCCGCTACGGCCATGATGATACCTATAATGGAAACTGTCCTCATGGAACTTGAAGCAGTAAGTTTCTATTTTTTTTTTTTTTTTTTAATATTATGGTATAGAATTTAAAATTTTATGTTCTTTTCAGCAAGGACTTGGGAACATGTTCATTCCAAATGAAAATATAGACAATGTAGAGTCCGGTGAAACGTGAGTAATTGTCGTAATTTTCCAAATTTTTTCTTCCTTTATTTTTTCTTTTTTATTCTCCGATATATCCAATTTTCAAATATTAATTCCTAAATAAAACATATGTTAAAATTATTTTCTTTATTATTTTCTTAGGTCTAAAAAGCCGACGCACACTACCATGGTGTACTATCTAGTCGCAACTTATGCGTCTAGCCTCGGTGGTATCGGTACTATAGTCGGGTCTGGGACCAATTTGACGTTAAAAGGTTTTCTTGAGAAGTACGTAATTTTATTTACATACACAAACACACACACACATATAATTTTGTAATTTCATTGCATCTAGTATAAGTTTAATATTAACTTGTACTTGAAGTATATCTAATTTTTATAAAAGTTAATTCTTTTTTAAACTAGTCTCTCTCTTTAAAAAAAAAGTAACATCTGAAAAAACAAAATTTTACATTTGATTCCAGACGCTTTCCTGAAAGTCCCGGCATAAACTTCGCTTCCTGGATGCTTTATGCGGTGCCACCCATGCTATTGATGGGCTTTTTCACGTGGTTGTGGTTGCAAGTGATGTATATGGGCCTTTTTAGACCACAAAGCAAAGATGCTCGCGCCATCGATATTGGAAAACAGGGTGAGCGAGTCACAGCAGCTGTTATCGAGAAGAAATACAAGGAACTCGGATTGATCACATGGCACGAGTCCGCCGTGGGTATTTTGTTCATCATTGTGGTCATTTTATGGTTCTTTAGGAGTCCCGGATTCATGGACGGTTGGCCTACTTATATCACGAAGTTGTGAGTATCCAATGGAATTTTATAAACTTCTGATTGACAAAACTATTATATCGTGACTCACGTCTAATTCCGAAGTGCAGATAAATATTTCATTTAAATTTACAGGAGTGTTAAGGATTCGACGGCAGCCGTGTTTGTAACGATAGTATTTTTCATTCTCCCGGCGAAGTTAGATTTCTTGCACGCGTTCGACAAGGATCCGCATAAACGGCCTACCCAACCATCTCCTGCTCTTATAACTTGGAAAACAATACATCAGAAAATGCATTGGAGTTTGATAATGGTGTTGGGTGGTGGGTTCGCTATTTCGGCTGGCAGCACTTCATCAGGACTGTCAGAGATGCTTGGTCAGTCCTTGTCGGGTTTGCAGAAGATCAATGTGGTGGCGATACTAGTAATCGTCTGTTTATTCGCCGAGACCGTGACGGAATTAACTGCCAATGTGGCTGTAGCAAACATCATATTGCCAGTATTAGCGGAAATGGTGAGTGTGGATTTGAAGTGAATTGCGATGACAGCACATCTCCGAATTTTCTTACTTGATAAGATTTGGGTACTTTCCCGACATATGTCTTCATTTTGTCTGACTAGATGTGCACCAACTAATCCTAACATTATCCTCAGTCTATTTTTAAGACTTTTCAAGACCTATTTTTAAGGCTTATATTTTCTTTTTTCAGTGTGTAGCGATAAAAATACATCCTTTGTATTTAATGCTACCAGCGTCTCTCTGCTGCTCATTTTCGTTTCACTTGCCAGTCGGTACCCCACCGAACGCGATTGCCAGTGCCGCGGGACATATAAGAACGAAGGACTTTATGTTCGCCGGTATCGGTCCTAGCATCGTCACGCTCATCATCACCGTGGCGACATTCCCCACATGGGGCACATACGTATTTAATCTATCGAAGTTTCCCGAATGGGCGGTATAACGCGATGTTACACGCCATAGTTTCATATTCTATTTATTTTTGTTCCATTGATGTGGACGTAACTAAGACAATGACAAATATTTGTTGCGCACAAATACATACAAACATTTTCATCTTGCCTAATTTGTTAATTTTTTTCTTACAAATCCCAAGTTCTAAATATATATGAAGTTGTAACACGTTAAACGCAACTTGACGCAATTCCAACATTGGTTACATACAATAGTTGAACTATTGGTAGCTCAAAAATGTAATTGATATTACTAACCAATGAAGAAATATACTGAGTTTGCACTAGATTAAAGGTTTGAAGAAATTTGTGATCTGTGAATAAACTTTCACAGAAAAACAAGTAAATAATGGGAAATTATTCTGCGATCTGTACATTGATAATAGTACTGTATTATAGTATTGAAATAGCATATTGTTTACGTAATGAACACGAATGAGCATCTTGTACAAGTGCAACAAAATATATATATATACACTTGTATAAGAGTATTATATTAAAATAACTTTACAGTATATCATTTCTTCCATGAGAAATTATATATATACATATGTATATTATAATAAGTTCCCAAGAGAGAGAATAAAGAACACAGTGTCTTTTTTCCTCTTATGTTTACCTCACCAATTGTATAACTTATTTATAACAAAAATAATTAATACTTATATATCCAAGATAAACAAAGTATTTGTACATACTTTGACATAATATACTAATTTTGTAAGTATGATACAGTATACTAATGTAACATTTAAAGGCGATGCTATAGATGGTTTCTATATGCTAAACATCGCAATATAAAATGTTATTAAAGAGTGATGATAGAAATATTAAATTTATATAATTGTTACTCACCATCTACGTTAGAATCACGACTGATGCTTTCCACTTTTTCCGCCATTTCAATCCTTGTGATTATTTCCGATGAGATAAAGTCGAAAGACACTGATTTAAAAAAGTCGATAACTTTTCATCCAAAACCCTGTAGAAAAATTAAAAAAAATTAAAACTCCGTGAAATATAGTGATATATAGTATATATCTCATATCAAATGAGATTAACAAACATAACCTTTTATAATCGAGATATAAGTTTTTATTCTGAACTCTTAGGGCCTCTAAATGTGACTTTCTGATTGATTTTCAGTCACATTTAGAAGCGTTTTTATTGATGAAAAGGAGTTTAGAGTAACGACCATAACCTACAAAATGTGGTGTTCTATCATACACGATTTCATAAGTATGTAACGAAAATACACGGAGATGGCAAAATGTATTATCAGGATTATTTTACGATGGTAAAACACTAAACATTTACAGTATTTTCAGTACTTACATCAATACGAACATGAAGTCTCATGACTATCTGATAAACCGTGATAAATGCACAGAGGTATGTAGAATCTGATAGGCGTTACAGCACTACTGTAGCGCCGCGTTACAAACATTCAATAAACTAAATTGAGACTTTATCGACAGCAAATGATCGTAACGAAATAGTTTTTAAAACTTGAATACAGATGACGTATAAGGGGTTATTCATCTACAATAGAGAATCGTACGCCGTAGCAGTAAGAAAGCCCTTAAGGTCGTTCTACATTAGTTGCAAGTCGATTGCAATCTTGTTGTGACATCCAATCAGAAGCATTAATAGCACCATTGATGCTTCTGATTGGCTGTCGCAATAAGAATTGCGTCTGCTTGCGATCGGCTTGCAACTAATATAGAACGACCTTAAGAGGAGTTGTCCCAGAATGGAAAGACAGACGATGTCCCAGGAATGTATTTTGACCGTAGTGCGCAGGCGCGGCGATCAGATGATGTTATATATATATATATATAAGGCAAGTTTTTTAATTCATCAATGGATTCATTGCATGATGCGTAAATATAGCGAAACGCTGCATTTGCGCATCATGCGATAGATCCATCGATGAATTAAAAAACTCGAACATATATATATAAAGTAAAAGTGCGTGACATGTACCTAACCTGGATAGCTGCTTCCTTACCTGTGTAAACTGATATTTTTATTTGCAGCTACTTTTTTTTCGCATAAATAGCATCTCCGGGTGCTCATGTTTATAACATATGGTATATATAACCTATTACATGCAACTTTGTACAATATATTTTATTTTCCCATTAGTGGATACAATCTATCTGACGTATGCGCATACGTTCATAATACACTTAGAAAGAAAGAGAAATATATATTCGCACCGTGATTCTGGGGTCAGACTTTTCTTTCCTTTAGCAATATTGTAATATTATATATATGCCAATCACGCATGTTCCACAGTTTTCGCTCATGATTGCTTCCGCTCATGATTGGTCCGCTCTCGTTCCGCGCTTCGCTATTCCGCTGCATGAGTTTACAGCCTGGGGCGCCGTCCCATAGAGCGGAAATTTTCAGCGGAACGGAACTTGCGGAGTTAGTACGACTGTTCCGCTTTTCTTTCGGCACTTTCTATTTTCCTTATGTTCTATAGAGCAGAATACGCGGAAGCGGATCACGCAGAATAATACAAAAAGTAGACTTTTTAATGTTATTTCTTACGTTTTTAATAATTTTAATAATATTTTATACAAATGATATAATATATGATAAATTAGTAAAGAATAAAATTAGTTTCTCAATAAAATACTTTTTATAAAAATATGCAACTATTTTACGATTGACTAAAATATAATTCCGCTGCCGCGTTTACCGCTTCATGGGACAGAAGGAAAAGTACATCAGCGGAATTGCGGTGATACATTATGTAGTATAATCGTCGAGTTTTTTAATTCACCGATCCATCGATGAATTAAAAAACTGGCCCAATAAAGTGAGATCTGTTGTGATTAATTATGGAGAATATATTATGTGATTTTTGTCAACTGTGACTGTTAATTAAACATATGAATATATAAACATATTCACATATTATACATAATTGTTTACTACAATTATCAAAATATTAACATCTTATTACTTACGATCTCTCCACTCATTATTTCTAAACGAAATAATAAAGAATGTCGAAAAAATATATATATAATAAATATATAAGAAGCAAATGGGATATGTAAGATATGTTGAGGTTATCCGCGACTATCTTTATCCTTTCCGCAAAATTGCAGCGGTAAGATTATAGCGAAACGGCACAAAAAAGAGCGGAACGGCTGTGATTGGTCGTACTAGTCCCGCGTGTTCCATTCCGCGGAAAATTTTCTCCCCATAGGACGTCGGTCTCATCTGATCGCAATTTTGCAAAAAATCTAATGCCACGTTCTGGAAGCTCATGTTGCACGTGCCGTTTCCATCGACAGTATCCTTTTCCAGTTCCTGGAGCATGTGTGTATTCCACAGGGCGAGCCAAGCGAATCTTAAACATCGTTTTTGTGATCAATAGCTCTGTTGATAAACATATTTTTATTTCAGCATTAAAATGAAGAGAAGAATTTTGAGCTAGAAAGAGCTGGAGTGCATTGCTGAACATATATCTGATTTTTCTTCTAGATCTTTTGATGATTATAAACTCAGTGATGAAACAGAAAGTGAAAATGAGTATGAATCTAGAGATTCGTATCTAGAGATGAGTATGAATCTGAGATTTTGGGAAACTTTTTGCAAAATTACGATCAGATAAGGCCGACGTCCTATAGCCTGTATCATACTACTGACTGCACAGGCCGACTCGACTGCCGACTCTCAATGGACTAATCACAGCGCCGAGTCAGCGCCTCACTGTGATTGGTTCATTGAGAGTCGGCAGTTGTAGTCGGCAGTCGGGGTTATGGGGCGAAAATTTTCCGCGGAACGGAACACGCAGAACCAGTACGACCAATCACAGCCGTTCCGCTTTTTTTTGTGTAGTTTCGCTAGGGAACGATTGACCACGGTACGATTGGACACAACCAACCGATGAAAAGAATTATCTAGTGAATTACTAGGTCGAACCAATCATTACAAGCTGTGTCCAATCGTATCGTGGTCAATCGGGTCCCACCCTAACTCAGCATTTATAAAAAGTCAACAAGAAGTGGAAGATTCAGAAACAATCTTCGACTTGGGGAAAAAAATTTATATTCAGAAATAAAAAGGATTAAAAAAACATTTCTCTTCTTGTTACCCAAGAAAGTGCAAAAGACACGCCAATACTCCACACAATGTCATTCGCTTATATGGAGACTTGTGTATTCGACAGATTCGTTCCCAAGTTTTCGTGAAGTATCCTTGAAGTCTATCCACGAAATCGTCACTGTCCTGATTAGTTCCTTCGTTCGGATGTACGCTTTCTAAATTTCTAGGCTAAATAGTCAGGAACAATTCTCAAACGGTGAAAAAATCGTCACGGAATAAATCACATAAATATGCCGGTAAAAAAATCAGTCAACATATGGGCCGCGTTCAGTAGAACAAGTGATCAGTAAGCGCTCAGTGAGCTCTTGCATCTGATTGGAGTATAGTTGGAGATCTAAAAGAATATGCCAAATCATATACAAGAGCTCCCTGAGCGCTTACTGATCACTTGTTTTACTGAACGCGGCCATGTATCCCCGCCTAGGAAAAAAATTAATTAATATATTCATTATTTATCTAGCTTGATGAATGTCTTCTTGCTGGACGACAGTTGCACTAGTCTAGTCTATTAGTTTCTTCATCCTTGCCCGCAAATAGCAGATGAAGGTTGAATGAATGAGAAAGTAACAGGAAATTTAATTTTAGTATTTCATGATCTGCCATATAGTGTCTCAGGTTCTCGCAAGTTCTTATATTCAACGAGGTGGTAAATTGTATTTTAGGAGGTAAATATTATATTTATTCAATAATGTAGGGATATACACACACATATATGTACACACACACGCCACACACACATATATATATATATATATATATATATATATATATATATATATATATACGAAAATGTCAAATTAGCATTATTATGTATTTGAATATATATTATATTTTATATAAGTAAATTTATATGTAAATTATTGTTTTTATTAAATGTATATGTAATATACATATATATAACTTTTACACTATAATTACTAATTGCTGTTAGTCATATATTATTTAAAAATGTAAATTGTAAATGTAGATACAATGTAGATGCAATAAAGACAAATTCAAATTAAAGTTTAATTTAGATTGATGAAAGATGAATGATATGATTTCTTTGATATTCATAAGTTTTTAAACGTTTTATTTATTTATTTACTTTTAGATTTTATATGGAAAATTATGCAGAAAAAGAAATAGAAGAAATACAATCTATGGTTGATAATGATGAGTAATCAAGTTAATTGCAATTTTATAATTTAATAAATTTTGTTAATTTTTATAACATGTTAGTGTTAAATTTAAATTTGGTAAACAGTAATAGAATTTGTTGGGATAAAATAATGACAAAATTATTATTGCAACAAGTTAGTGCACATATACATTTATTTGGTCATCATATAAAACTATTTGGAAGTCTGTTGCCACTGGTATTAATGAAAAAGGATATAATGTTAGTGCCGAGCATTGCAACAATAAATGGAGGAGCTTGAAGAAAAGATATAAATGTATCAAAGATAACATAAACAATCTAGTGCTGGTAGACGACGATATTGGATTTACTGCGATATTATCGATGACATTCTTAAGAAACATCTAAAAGTACCACTATTCTTAGCGTCCAGCACACACACACTGGTGGTTTCAGAATAATTGCTGATGTAGATACAGTTGAGAATAATGTTGATAATTCTACAGAAACATCTTCATGTAGTAATGTGACAAATAGGCTTGGTAAAATTCAAAAACTTAGTAGTAAAATGTTAATGAGACTTATTGATTCTAATTTATATCTACACCAGCAGTTATTCTGAAACCAGCAGTGTGTTGGACACTAAGGATAGTGATGTTACTTCTGGATGTTTTTTAAGAATGTCATTGATAGCATCGTAGTGAATACCATATTGATATTGATATTGTCTACCAGCACCAGATTGCTCAATATTATCTTTTACATTTATATCTATTCTTCAAGCTCCTTCATTTACTATTGTAATGCTCAGCACTAACATTGTATCCTTTTTCATTAATTCCACCTCCAACAGACTTCCAAATAGTTTTATATGTATGATGACCAAATAAATATATATGTGCACTAACTTGTTGCAATAATAATTTCGTCATCACTTCATCCCAACAAATTCTATTACTGTTTACTAAATTTAAATTTAACACTAACATGTTATAAAAATTAACAAAATTTACTAAATTATAAAATTACAATTAACTTGATTACTCACCATTATCAACTATAGGTTGTATTTCTTCTATTTTTTTTTGCATAATTTCCCATCTGAAATTTTAAAATAAATAAATAAATAAAACGTTTAAAAACTTATGAATATCAAAGAAGTCATATCATTCATTTTTCATCAATCTAAATTAAACTTTAACTTGAGTTTGTTTTAATGCATCTACATTGTATCTACAAATTTATATTTTTAAATAATATGTGACCAACAGCAATTAGTAATTATAGTGTAAAAGTTATATATATTACATATACATTTAATAAAAACAATAATTTACATATAAATTTACTTATATAAAATATAATATATATTCAAATACATAATAATGCTAATTTTACATTTTCGTAATTATATATATATATATATATATATATATATATATTATATATAAATATATATATATATATTATATATAAATATATATAAATATATATATATATATATGTGTGTGTGTGTGTGTAAATATATATATATATATTCCTACATTATTGAATAAATGTAATATTTACCTTCTAAAATACAATTCGCCACCTCGTTGAATATAAGGACTTGCGAGATAACCTGATCGCTATTTGAGACATTATATGGCAGAACATGAAATACTAAAATTATAGAGAGGTAGTCATACTTTTGACCTGAAACTAGCCCAGAGTGCTTCTTTGACTGCGTTCCAAAATTCACTGCCAGTACTGAAAATCTATAGTTCATGTCACGTATACTATAGAATTTCAGTACTGGCAATGAATTTCGGAACGTAGCCTTTGTAAGCACCTAAAATCAAATTCGAATTATCGTAACCATCAACTACTACTCTCTAGTAATTAGTAATAAGATATTAATATATAGTTACAGCTACTAGAGGACGAGGCCGTGGAAGAGCACGAGCACGATGATACCAGCAAAGAGGAAAAATATGGAGACCATTTGGAAGTTTTTGGAGAGGTGGTGGCGGTAGAGGCGGTAGAGGAGATAGAGGAGGCATAAAAGGTAGGGGGGATAGAGACAGAAGAGGAAAGAAATTCCCTAAAATATTAATTTATAATTTATCGCTCTGTATATCGCTCTGTATTGTTCGCTACTGCTTGCTGCTGCTTGCTAGAACGTCGCTATAACAATTTGCTTTTACGCGCCATTCATACTTCAATTGGTGTATATCTCCATTTCGTATTGACATCACCTGTTTAGTTCGGCCACATCCTTAGTACAGGGCATCAATCATGAATCTTTTCACGTGAGTTTAATTTTACTATCGATTATATAACTTTTTTCCTTAGCATGAAATTGTGAAAAGTGAGCAATTTCTAAATATTTGTAATAATTATTATAAACTTATTTTATTTAATACACATCTGTATTTATAATGCATAATATATTGTTGTAATCTTTTCTTTGTATATTTTATGTAAAATTCTTTATCATAATTTCAATTTTAAAAAAGTATGCAACATGCAAAGTAAAATTCACTGAAACAGTTGTCCACATTGTTTTGAATTGTGGAATACGCATACGTAATATTACAATTTACATATTTGTGCAAGATGATAATATTATACTATTTTTCACGTTTTAGCCATCAACCGTGTAGGTAAAACGTGAAAAGTAAGTGTGCGTATTTGTAGTATTTATATGGTAAAATAAAATAATCTAGTGATTTCTTTGTTGGGTGTTAGGCCATGGATGCTTCCGAAATATCCAGAGTTGGATCGAGTTGAGTTAGTTTTACTATAGTATATGTATCAACTCAACCCAGCGCATTTGCATAGAGCATAATTACATTAAAGTGAGAAAATAATAGATT